ACACACACACACACACACACACACACACACACACACACACACACTCACACACACTCAAATATTCCTTGACTACTATTTGTGTGATGTTTTTGTGGTTTGGTAAGAGTTTTACGGCACGCGTAGTACCTATAACTAGCATCTGCGGGGTTTTTGTTGCTTTTTTTATCCCCGAATCGTGGCCGCGATTATTGGCATTTTCTTCAACAAAAAAACAAAACAACAATACTACTTCATAACATATTAGACATGTATTTTGATACGTTTTACCTTGTCCATGTGTATCTATTTTCATGCTTAGAATATAAGTACATTACATACTATTTATATTGCTGTCCGTCTTTTATTTTTCCCTCTTTATTGTGTTTTAAATTGTTGGTGTGTTAATTTTCCCAAAAATTGTTCCAATGAATTGTTTTTCTTTTTTGTGTTTATACAGTGTATTGTACATTTGATTTAATGCTGTTCCTACCCTTTCAAAAATATAAATGTTTTACGTTAGAGCGTGTCTCCACCAAATAAAAACTGAATACTGACACTGGTACGCCCCAATTGTGTGTGATTCCATAATTTACATGCAATATCTTGTAGGTCTACGTTTTCTTGAATTACACACGTTTAGGGTTAAAACAGCCAATCTTCGGGTAGGTGGACACACGCTCTTATTTGTCTGAAGACACCAAAATATGGAGAATAAACTGGATGTGGGGAGGGGGGGTAAAATCCTCAAAGGAATGTATTTGTAAATGGACATAAAAGGTTGGGGAATTTTTTTCAAATTTTGTTTTTTGGCTCAACACCTTTCATGCCCATTAAAGAACCCATTTCTGTGTGGATTATTCTGAAAAGCGTTGAATAAAGGCATAAAAAAATGTAAATTTTCAGTTACCACGGACTCTTAAGCAAAGGAAATAACTAATCTTTGCGGCCTTTTTCTCACTAATTTTACCTCTGAAAACAGGTGACCCCCACCTCCTTCATTCGCAAATATCTCGACTTGTGTTCAAGATAAATGGATATTTTTTCCATCCAAGACAAGAGAATAAATTTTAAGATGAAACCAATAACTCTACATGCCGAAAAATTGACGAGAGCCTGATTCCACCACGCTGCCTCACAAATATATATATAGCTTGAAAACTTGTCAGTTAGATAATTGTTTGACCACTGGTCACTTTAACATGGCACAGAATGTACATGACTGGGGGTACATGCAGCTGGTGAACATAGACATGCTCCCGGATGTGAGAGTGTTTTTCCACCCACACGAGGAGATTGTCTCCCTTGTTCTGGCACTCATACTCGGGCAGGCATTGTCAAGGTGAAAAAGTACTCTAAGTCCAAATTTGGTCTAAATGAAAACTACAATTTTGTAAGCCGAAACAGAAGCGAGAAACAACTTCCCCCAAAAAAATGGGGGCATGGTCGCATCTCTGCATGACTCTTCTTTTGATCCCAATCACCTCAGAAGATACTGTGTGGTATGTCTACACACTTCGAAGGGTAGCACCGGTAATCCTGTGGCTAGGCTGACACTCCTGTTTGAATCGTTAGGTTATGAATTCGTTGGTTCGAGCCTGAGCTCGGACTGTCGTTGTGTCCTTCAGAAAGGCTCTTCACTCTAAGTTCCTGTTCGGCCTGGTCCCATAAGAGATGATAACTTGATGATCCCACCTCTTAAATAACTTAGATTAGAAGTGTTGATAGCAGCTTTAAACCTATACCATACCATACCACTGTCATACACTTCCGTAGAGAAGCGGTCCGAAAAGACAATTTGAGAACAAAAGAAAGTGTTTGGCTAAAATTAAGACCTTAGAACAAAACTGTACCTAAGTCATTTTTGCTGAATGGATAAAAACAGCAGAAAATAATGTAAACCTTAGGTTTATATTTGCTTTGGGATACCCTGTAGCCAGCCCCC